TTTCGTTTAAAATGTCCATTAAATGTTATTAATTTTCATAGGTTTCCGCAAAATGTATGTAACTTTAAAGTATACAACGATGAAATAAAATTAACACTAAATAAAACCTAATTGTTTTACATTAATTAGACTTTTCTGCAAGAATATTTTAATATCTCATCGTATAATTACAATTTATTAAAAAGAATTAATTTCCTTAACAGGTTTTTTTTCACATAATCTTATAAAAGATCGTAAGCTTCGTCATTGATTATTAATTAATCGGTTTTTATATGCATAATATATTATATTGTATAAAATTTATAAATCGTGTTTTATTTATTCGATAAAATCGTTGACACAGTGTCTAACTTTTTGTTTATCTTTTTTCTTTTTTTAAATTTTTATTCATTCGTATTAGATACAAAAAAAAACAAAAAAACAACAACTCGTCAAACGTACTTGTGATTTTCGAAAGGGGAACGAGAATGAAAAAAGACAATTTGTTTATGAAAGTCTCAAGTTACTTGGAATTAACTGTAAGTGTTAAAATGCATCTTGTCTAACTAAAGAAAGGTTTTCAAACGGACTTTCCACTTACAATGTTGGTATATGATTTACACCTTTTAACACGGCTTGACATTGAATTGTAATTTTTTGTCCCTTTTAACCGTTTATTTATGTATCTCTACAAGTCACGAATCTTGACAGATATTTTTTTGTCTCTCAAATAATAATATTACAGAATATACTGCAGTATTATCTTTCTATGAATGACAGACCACTGGGTGAATATTTGTGCACGGTAAATGAGAATATTAAATAAAATGAACTATGCACGTTTCTAAAAAAGACACGACCCTCTTTAGAAAATACGGTTAAGATTAACGAATGAATGGTTTATGTTAATTAATACATTGAATTTTATTTTCTACAAACATTATTACTTATTCAAAGTTATTCAATATATATGTAAGATAATACGATAATTTTTTTCTAATGAGGGAAAATGTACACAATTTAATGTTAAACTAAGAAATCATTTTCTATAACTAATAAAATGAATTTTTTTCCTTTTTTTAAAATAAATAGGTGGTAGACATCAGGATGACGAATAAACAAAAACATATCTCGTAATACTAAATTCTCTGTGTGTTCCGAATAAGAATAATAATAAGTTACTTTAGATATTTTCTAAATTGAAAAATGGTACGATCTACTTCTCAATTCTTATTTACGGCTAACTCGTATAACTTTCACCGAAATAACTACGATTCCCATTGGGATCGTTTCTTTCGTTTGTCGATAATTTTTTTTTTTTTTTTTATGCATAATTATACACCAGAAAGACGACATATAACGTTGGTCGATCGTGGAGAAAAGAATCTCGTTTATAATCGACAATTATTTCCAAGTAAAACGTGCCTTTGCCTTTCCCGGTCGTCCAAATTTTACGTTTCCGATCTCGTTGAAAAATTCCGATCGAGAGAAGCAAAGAAAAATTTACGAGAGATAATATTTGATTCTTTAACGATAGAAAAATGATGATTGAACATTTTTTTGTTGCGTTAGAATCTAAAGAATCAAAAAGAAAAAAGAAAAGGAAATCATTTATCTCTTCGTGTAATAAATCCATCGATGATTTTTCTTATAAAAATGTGTTACAACTTTTTAAAACGAGTTAATATCGAGAATTATTTGTTGTACACACATAATCTCTCATCGAATTTCTAAAATAAATATAAATTACATGGAACCTAATTATTTTCAACGTAAATGTGTCGAAAATTAACGAAAGTTCAAAACTCGTATTGCACCTTTCGTGTTAAATTTATTATTGTAAAAAAAAAAAAAAAGAAAAAGATAACGCGAGAACGTGAAACCTGTTAACTAAGCTAAAAATAATAAAAAAGAAAAAAGACAACAGACACACGCTTAATCGGTTTTCAGTATCAAATAACCTAATGCATTCTCTTCAACGTCGAGACAATAATTCACTCTAATCTTTTCTTTGGGGTCGGGGACTGTAGAAGGGGGGGGGAGAGAAGTACAAGTTAGCGTGTTAGAAATACAATCGAAAAGAGGTTCACGTTTTTGATCTATTTGATTGGTTGATATATCGAATGGAAAAAAAAGAAAATAAAACATGGCAATCGATAAGACATTTTAAAACAAGAAGAATGACTTTCACGAAGCACGAAGACGACGACGACAACTGTGCTGTTTCTTTTTTAATAATTTTTTTTTTTTTTAATGCTCTTGGTGTGCGTGGACATTGGCATTCTGTACGATGATCTAGACTAGTACCGGAATGCGTGTTGAGAGATTCAACGCGAAAAGAATGAGAGACGAGGAGACATTTGCACGAGATATAAACGTTTTTATTAGCTAGGTGGGTATTCTTTAAACGTTGCAGTATACAACCCATCATCCCAGTTTTAAGTAGGTATACCCGGATGTTGATATAAAGTTGAAGATCTAACGCGACATTTAACTGTGTGTGTGTGTTTGTGTGTGTTGAAAGCTTCCCAAATGTTAGAAAAAAACCCTTCGAATCTCTACTAGCAATTAATTATCTTTCGAAGAAAATGGTGTTTCGGATATGACCATAAGAAAGTTCCTCCTAATTCGTAATTGTGTTCGTCGATCTTATTTTTAATATGATTTTAAATATCGATAATAATGTGATTTTATTTTAAGGTTAAACTTAGTTCTCGTTTGGATTCTTCGGTATGTGTGTGTGTTTTTTTGTTCCGTTCTTTAAATTATCTTTCACAACGATTACGTCATTATAAGGCGGATAAATAATTACTGTGCCGCGTTCCTTCGTAATTGTCTTGTTCGATTAGTACACGTCTTCATTTCTATGATACTCGGTGTGAACGAGTTCGTAAATTGTAACGAGGTAATATTTACGGATAAACTTAACTTTTTAATTATCGGTGTACCATTGAATACGAGTCTTTCATTTTCAAACGTAACGCCTGAAATAGAAATACTGGATTCGCACACAGGATCAGGTTTGATAATGATCTATTATTTATTATATTAATTTAAGATCGTTATTCTCGGTAGCTTCGATACATTTTCACGAATATTGTTCTTTTTCTTTCGTATTTTCACTGATTTCTCTTTCGCGAGTTTAAACGTTCTTCTGCTTCTTTTTCTTTTTCGATTATTACGATCGCGAAATATCTTTTGTCGATAATTTGCGGAAAGATATTTTTTTCTTTTTTTTCCTGTTTTCGTCGAATTTAAATTGGAACACGCATAAACAGTTATATTATATATGTATATATGTATATGTATTTTATGACAATGAAGAAGACAAACATTAATGTCACGACAATTTATCTAGGTCAACGAAAAAAAAAAAAGAAAAAAAATAAGAAATAAGCAGGTTGTATCGTTTACTACGTATGTATGCGTAAGTATGATTATTATATGCGTATGTATAATGTGCTTATTTGTGTTTTAAGAATTTAGCCTGCAGGGCACACGTCGATCGAAGCCACTTTACTTTTTTTTTTTTTTATCTCGTCATTTTAAAGCTTCGAGAACAAAATTTGTACATCAAATTATACATTTTGTGTTTTTTCATATATATATATATATATTTTATTTTTGGGAGGAGGGGGGTTTATAGATTTTTCTATGTATTTTTCAGGAAACATTGTTTATACGAAACGATACGTCTTGTCAAGGATCGATAATTTTATGCTAATCCATTGTGATCATTGTTAATAAAATATACACATTTATCTTATTATTAATTGCGAAATATTTAACACGATCGATCAAGTTTAATTTTTGTAATAATTCATGAAAGTTTGATATTAATTTGACGTTGAGTATTTACTCGTGTAATTTAATATAAAAATTAGTCAAATTTCTCGTTGATCAAAAAATTCTTGTTACTTTATTTATGATCGTCGTCCGTTCTATTTTATTTTCATGAGAAATTTCTTTTTTTCTTCTTTTTTTTTCGAATAATCGGATACGGATTGTTAAACTCTTAAAATACTCTTCAAATAAGTGAATTCGTTGAGATTTAGGTAATTTAAAAATTGTTCTTTGTCTTATTGTTTTTAATTTTCGTTTTTTGTTCAAATCTCTGAGAGACAAACTCGGTCGAGTAGAATAACCAGTTCAGCGAAAAGAAAACACACACAGTCGTTTTATTAAAAATACTTGAATATTTGTTGAAAACGGATATAAAGTGAACGTACTATGAAATAGTTGTACGTCGAACGTTGGCTATAGTAGAACAGGTTTTTGAAAAGTAACAAAAAGGATCTAATAGGTACGTCGTAGTAGGGTATACAAGATATCGTTAAACAAAAAATAAATCGAACTAAGGTGAAGTTATTAAAGTGTGGCTTACGTCTGGATGATCTCTAAGAGAATGTTGTGTAAACCAGTCTTCTCTCTCTCTTTAAAGAGGTTGATTACTGATCACCGATCTATTTATTTCCACCTCTTACGCGATAATTCGATCTAGTCGTTTACTATAACATTAAAATGTATACTATTTAACAATTAATTACATCTTCGGGGTAGGTCATTCGACACGATCAGATTCGATTTCAAATTTAAAATGGGGATATTCGTGAAGTCACGATTAATCTCGACAATAATGTTTCTTCTATCGAAATGACAATGGTTGGTTGTAATTGTTTTCCATGTAATTGCATCCGGGAGAACGTCGTCGTGAAATACTCGGATAAGAATAATCAAAAATAAAAAACAAAAGAAAAAAAATGAAACATTTTTCAAATGGCAGTTAATTTCATAAAATGGAACGCCCGGTGTCTCATGTAAGTAGCATAAAATATATTTGTGACAAGTTCGTAGAGTAAAACGTTCAACGTTATATACTATTTTTCCATTGTTTTTTTGCATTTCATTCTTTATGATGAATTCTGATTATTCTTGGCGTTGGTAATCGTTTGGGACTCCCTTCGGTGGTCGCGCAGACAACGCTTACCGTTATCATGAAATTTTCATTTTGAACAAAATATCTTCCTTCCTCGTTCTCGCGTAACACTTCGGCTTTGTTACCACGAAATAAATTCAATCGTACGAATATAACGATGATGAATCTGAAAAAATAAATTAAATTAAATTATTAAATAAAATAATAAAATAAATAATATAATGGACAATATTAGCGATATATAAGATTTTGACTGACGATTTTCGTTCGGATTATCGAATAAAAATTGTGAATGAACAGAAAAAATTCAGTTAGGTTTTTAAGGGAAAATCGATAAAATTGTTTAGACATAGTGACACCAATCGACGTACCCATGCCTGGCTGCATCCATGTATCCGAGCTATGGCACACCTAGAGATGCAATGACTACTGCATCTCGACGCAATCTTGGTTAAGAAACATTATCTAAGTCGTGGACCGTTACCCCCACCGACCTAAATGCTCGACGTATAAATGGTCAAGACACCTTCTAAGCACTGTCAGTAAACTTGTGCGCTTTATCTCGTGTTCTGCTTCATCCTCTGGATTCTCATTATATCAATCGCATTGAATCTAATTGTAACAGGTTTGACTCCTATTAGATTTGACCGGTTTAAAAGTTATCTTTTAAATTTGTTTAAAAAAGTATTTCTCTTATAACGTAAGATAATAATTCGTTTGATGTAACATGAGAGTGGAATTAATAAGAAACTCGCGAGAACGACGACGATGATGCTGATGATTATGAGAGACGATTTTGTGTCGTGTGTGTTGTTAGATCAAGGTAACAACAGTTGATCGTGATTCATTTTTCGGAATCAAACTTTATTAATGAACAAATCTTAATCGATTAACGACGATGACAGGAGACAAAATAAGAAGAATCGATTATTGTTGTACCTTTTGTTGTTCGAGACTGTTAACCAGACCTCTTTCGATTATATTCCTTTTCCTATTTTTCATGGAAATCAGTGTAGCTACTTATCGTAACTCGTCTAACACGTTTTTGGAAAGATGTCGGTTAGACTGTACCATGCAACAGGACTTTGCCAGTTGTGGAAAATACAAAGCAGCCAGATGGTTGAACGAATTTGTTAAAGAAAAGGTAAGAGAATGGATCGTAAAGGAAATAGTGACCATTTGAACAAACAAAATGACAATCTGTAATAATACGGGTTGATCACTCTCCACCATCTAAACGATTACGAAACTTTATTGCAGAAACTTACAATTATGGTAATCTCTAACGTAACTGCAACGCGTTCTTGCCTTTCTCACTTTCTTTCCGTCAATGGCAATGTCGCGATGCGTTAACCTTTCCTTAAGTAATCGATTTTCTACGATTCATTATTATTACTTTCAGTCTTTAACTATATATATATTTTTTTTTGTCTATTATTATTATTAATTGACAAAGTTGTACAATTTATCCGATCAAATTATATAGGTAATTAATTTTTCTATATTATTTTCTATATTAATTTTCAATATTAGGAGTTCACTTATGGACCATTTCGGATCATAAGGATATCATCGATGCAGCAGGAATCACTTTTGCCGAAATTACCTCGTTCTAGGATTTTCAAAAGAAGCGTATTGGATACGCTTGATTTTCTTCGTGACAATGTCAACGATCTATTGACAAAACGTGCGATCGTTTATACGGTTGACAATCCTACTACAAGTGGCAGAAGTTTTACAAGTGGACCGATGATAATGGACGAGGATGAATTGCGAGAGTTGCAAGGGAGAAAAGAAACTCAGGGTAAGATAAATATCAACCCCCAAAAAAAAAAGAAAAAAAATAACATTTAACATTAGATTTACGGATATTTTGTTCATTATTTTTTCAAAACTTATAAACATTGTTTGAATGAAGAAAAGAAATTAATATTTACGTATATCTCAACGTTTTAAAAAATCAACATATATTTAAAAAACAAAAATAATATTTTATGTTTTATATATGTATATGTAGCAAAAAAAATGTGAAATCAGTCAAATTGACTCACAGTTCGTAAATCTAATGTTAAATCACTTTTAGAATCCTATTGGTATCAATTTAAGAATCTCTTATAGATCTATCCAATTGAATTCATTTATTTACTTAACGTTAAATCGTCCAATTTGTTTTTACTTCGATCATTTTTAAATCTGATTGTTCGTTCGTTCGTTCGCGTTCGAATAACAGATCCGGAATAGCGGAATTGTTGTTAGCTACTTTTCCGTCCTATCCGGTAAAATACCGAGGTTGTTCTTTTACCGCGAGAGTCACTGAACTGTACATTTTGTGTAATAATACTTTAGATACCGAACTGGTCCCTATTCCGTTTGGATTAATTAATATAATTATTCGAGTCGTTCAACGTTATTCGATTTTGTCGACGTTGTTGTAATAAACAGCTCTCGATTTTAATATCTTTTATAATATAATTTTGTTTCTTTTCTTTTTTTTTCATTTTTGTTCTTTTATTTTATTTTTTTTTTTATTTTTCAGGAGACTGGCGTATCTTTAAGAAGAAAAAATCGATGATATTGCCACTGTTAATATTATTGAATCTTTTCAAATTGAAGCTACTGTTGTTGCCAATATTTTTGGGCGTACATTTCATCAAGAAACTCTTAGTTTTGGGTTCTTTGATCGCACCTTCCATTTTGGCGCATCTTAAGATTTGCAAAGTTCAACCACATCCGACGTATCCTTATCACACGTGGGCAACCGCAGCTGAGGCACCTGTTGATTATCCTACCGGTAATTATTTCTCTCGTTATACGTTGTTTTTTCTCTCTAACGCATTTTTTTTTATAGTAAAATTTGAAAAAAATTAATCTTAAGGGTCTAACGAGATAAGATTCTTTAAGATATCCGATAGAAAAAAATTTAACTTACTTTTAACAATCATTCGAAGGTGTAAAAACTTAAAGGTGTCTGTGCCGACGACTAGCATACTTAAAATATTTTACTACGGGATCCTTCCGATCTCGTAATTCGTTTCTTTTCCTATTACTTGCTCGTAAAGAAGTATCGTTTTTTTATCGTTTCTCGTGCCATTGTAAAATCGTAATAATAACAATTAATATTAACGATAATAATATGAAATATCTACGAAATATTAACGATGGTATTAAAACAACCGTAACTTTGTTCTCCGGTGCATCATATACGGATAAATATTATTTTTGTTTAATATATTTTTTTCTTTTTTTTCTTTTTTGCCTAAATATTTGTTTTTATTCGATAATACCGGATATATCTGGAACGTAACGTTACCGTACTTATTGTAATTTTTTTTATTTGAGAAAAAAAAAAAACGTTCGATCACGCACTGACTATGCTTAATCGTTGTTTGTTCAAATAAAATCGAAATTTACGGTAAACTCTATTTACCAAACTTGTTTCTTCGCGTAAGCCTTTGATTATACATTCGACGTGCTAAAATAGGCATGAAAAAGAAAACTGTTAGCGTACGGTGTTCAAAGTAGGTGCAAATCCTCATCTAGCATGACACATCAGGCGCCGTACTTGTTTTAAATGTAAACGCTTTCTAGTTGAAGGCCACCTTATGACATGAATGAATTTTGTCAGTGATTTTTCTTTAGTCTAAGAATGGAGGCCATTCGATACGACGAAGGTCAAACCGTCGGTTGCGCTTGCAATACCGATGAACATTTTTAATCGAGTTTCTATATAAACGCGTGTTTCTAATCACCTGTTTGTTGTATGTTTTTTCTTTTTTCTTTTTTTTTCTTTTAGGATACGGTCACGATGAAACTGCTTGGGCTCATAGGAATGATATTCAGGGTCATCTGGCCTATCCAGCCTATCACGGATATCGTAATCCTTACGGTTGAACTTCAGAACAACGGGACAAACTGCATTTTTAAATAATATACAAAAATCTCACGCCGAAGAGATAATAATCTCCATAAGATCGAACACCTTTGGATCAAATATTATCGAAGCTTGATTGAATGCATATATTTTTTTATAGAAACAAATTATTGTACAATCCATATATATTAAATTATTTTATTTATTTATTTCACAACCTTTTTTCACACGTCTCCCCGAGATAATCGTTTCATCGATCGACTCGATTAATGCAATAAGAATGCAAAAAGAAAATAATATTAAACGATCATTCATCGTCATCGAATATTCTGTCTGATTTTTTTGTTTTTCTTTTTTCTTTAAACGGGTCAACGTGACGATGATACGTAAAAACGTAACTTTCACGGAATAGTACCGTTATCGATCGGACTTGCAGATTCCACGGATTTCTGTGAAAATCTGACGGGAAAGGTAAGCAATGATATTTATTTCCCTCGCCCCTTTTTCCCCTCCCCCTCCCGCCTCCCGATTATTACAATTACTTGATCAAAAAGATGATCACCCATAACGATTAAAAAAAATAAAAGAAACAACGAAACGTATGAACGAAGTGTCGTTGAAATTCATTGAGGTCGATGGTCAAGGTCGAACATGTGGGCAAGAGACGTACGTTGGCCCCTTGGTTACTGAGTGACCTACTGACAGATTTGGATATAGGCCCGATGCTTAAAACCCACCCTCCCTGCCCCTCCCCAGTCTCACCTCCTTCCTTCACTTCTTTCTCAGTCCCTCTCGATCTTTCTCTTATATTCTTTCAGGTTGTTTTTCTACTTCTTTACTTCACCACCACCACAATCATCACCACCACCATCACCACCTGTTTCCACCTTTCGTCTTGATAAACTCGCTCGAGCGAACGATTCGTTCTAAAGCACACGTGAACGAATATCGTACTCACGGCCGATCAAAAAACCGTTATCGCCTTCGTGTGTGTGTCCCCCTCCTCTTTCCCCCTCTTCCCCCTCTCACCATTCGTTCGTTCTTACTTTACCTTAGCAACTTGTAGTAATACTACATTTCGATTATACCTTGCGTACTGTTGTTGCTGCTGCTACGTACGAGAGACTCTCTTTATGCATATTACTTTTCCAAATGATATTACTTTTCTCTCTCTCTCTCTCTCTCTCTTCTTGGTCTTTCTTTTTTTTTCTTCTTCTTCTTTTTAACCTCGAAGTTTCTATTTATGCTCGAACTAGTATTTTCTTTACCTATCGTAGACGTTTCCGTAACTCCTTCGTATTTTTCCACTCGTTCGAGTTCGTTACCGGTGACATCGTATATAGGATTGTTGGGGGATAGTAAATGACGATTATTGTGATTGAGTCTAGGGTTAAATTGATGGGAGTATATCGGGGGGCAGGAGAGGGGGGTACTCTAATACACGTCGACACGTGATCCGAGCTCGTTCACGCAAGTCAACCGTTAACATTTTATATATATCTATATATATCTTTATAATAGTTTAACGAAAAAATGATTTATTAATGTAACGGATTACATTGTTGTTAATATGTGGTTTGTGATTTTTGATTTAAAAATTATAGGTTTCTTCTTCTTCTTTTTTTTCTTCTCTCTTCTTCTTCTTCTTTTATATTATATTAATATAATCATTATAAATATATATATGTAATATATAAAAGATAATAAAAGATGACTCGTGTAATAGGAACGATGAGTATGTTATGACACCTGTTTGATTGCTCGAACAATAGGAACAATAAAAATGAGAATTATTCTGTAATCCAATACTCGTACATCTGTTCCTTTTATCTTGTTAATTTCATTATTTATTCTCATAATAATTGTCTGTTATAATACATACGAGTATAATTATTGTAATCAGATAATTTAATCTGAAATATCATTTATATCGAATTCTATTTGTGAAATCACATGAATCATTTTCTCATAATCCAGGAAAAGATTTCAATTCGAAACAGATAAAAAGTGATTGTTGAATTGAAATATATCGAACAATCGATTAGATTATATTAATATTAATCAACAACATATCTTATATATATATAAGAAAAAAATATCTAAGAGAAAAATATTTACGAAATAATATGTCGAATAGAAAAATAAAAAAGAAAAAAAGAGAAAGAAATTATTTGATCGTAATCAATATTTTTATTTGGGGATTCCCTGGTTAAAAAAAATCTCCCAATAGTAACTATACAAATATTCTAATTATAGAATATTATCTCGTATGAGATATTATTTTGATTAGTGTGTAAGAAAATAAAACAAAAAAAACAAAAAGTAATCGATAGATCGGTATTTTACGAAGTATAAGTACGTGACCAATGAAATAATATGTGGAAATGAAATGAAATGAAATGAAATGAAATGAAAGGAAAGGAAAGAAGATTCGAAGGAAGTAACGAAGGATGGAAAGGTGGAAAGGAAGGATGGGGTTTCGTGGTGAGGGACGGACAGACGGATGGCCGGGTAACCTAGATCGGTTCAGTCCAATCCGATCTGACGGAGACTTACCAGCCAGTACCGTCGCAACCGTCGAACGTGATTCCAACTTTTACAAAGATACCTTCCTATACGTTTTCTCTACAGATATCTTACTATTTCGTGGTGTTTCTTTCTTTTTTTTTTTACGGGATTTACAAAAATAAAAAGATTTCACAGGATTAATTGACGAATACGAGGAGAGAACCAATGACACGCGGGTAATAGGAAAAGTGAGTAAAATTGTCCAAAAGAACAGATTTTTCTCATTAACACGTTTTCAAATCTTTGATAATAATTATCTATCGATATTAAATCTAGAAGTATTATCAATGAAATTTATCTTGATCGATACGATTAATAACAAATAATAATAATATTAATAATGTATTATATAAATATTGTCTAACGAGATAAACGGGGACACTTATCACGGGTGATAATATTTTAACAATTTCATTGAATATGTTAATAATTAAGCAAGTTGAATATCATTTGAGTGCGAAAGATCACGGTAATTATCTATACTTCATTTGCAATAAAGCGAAACGTTAAATGAACGAAACTCCGTTCGAAGGAGACACATGCAGTTGTCCTACGGCAAGAAAATCATTTTCGAATGGTTGGACATGTAGCTGGAGAGAAAAAGAAACAAAAGGGGTGTGTTTTTTTTGAGAAATAAACAAGAAAGAAAAAAAGACGAACGAACGAACAAACAACAAAATCGTCGATAGAAAAATCATCGTTATTATTATTATTATTTTTTATTGGAAGAAGAAGAAAAGAAAAATATACATTTAGCGAAGAATGTCAGTGGGAAGAATAAAATACAAAAAAAAGATGACGATTGTAGCATGGGTCGTTGCGATCTTAGCATTAGCCAGCGAGTTCAATGCCGTTCAATCTACGTCCTTGAACTTGAACGATACCTCGGGAAAGAATACGGGAAACGAAATATTTGACGTAATTTCGGACGAACATCCGCACGAGATTAACAATAAACCGAGTAAATTTGACATGGACATAGATCACGTGACAATGACAGACGATAAATCGAGTTATCAAATCGAATCATCTAACGTTGATAATTCGACGAGAAGTTCGTTGGACGATAAAGAATCATCGTCATCGTCATTGTTATCATCGTCATCGTTATCGTCATCGTTGTGCGATGAAGATCATTGTGCAACTGAGAAAAAACTTTCAAATATTTTGGACAAATTATCAAAGATAGACGAGTACAACGTAACGGATAACGTGCAAATAGTGCGAAGTGAAATTGCCATTAATAATAAATCGAATGTTGAGAACGAGAGGAAGTCCGATAGGAAATTCGATCTCTTGGAGAAGTTTCATCGATATGCGAAAGAACACGTGGTTAGAGTCAAGGTCGATCCAAATGCGATAACCAGTAGAAAGGGAAGAACCTTCTTCGATGGTGAGTGTAACACAAGCTGGTAGTGCACTTATGTGTTTGTCTGTTAAAACACCGAGAGAACGAAAGAGAGAGAGAGAGAGAAAGAGAGAGAGAGAGAAAGAGATTGAATGCTCGGGTAAAAGGTATTAGTATTTCTTGCTCGTACAGTGGCCATTCAGACCGTAAAAGTGTGTTTTGCAGACGAATACTTGGGAAGTTCTTTAAACTCGGTTGGAATGTTTATTAGCATGGGAGAAAGGGTGTAGTGTTTAAGTTTAACACGTTCAGAACGAGACTGTACCGTCAATTGTACACGTACCACAAAATCGGCCGGTTTGTTTCACCAATTGTAAATGCGTGATTGTGTCTCATAGAACGTATTTTGTATCATTGTGTATACTTTCTCGTATACAATTATTATTATTATATAAAAAAATATATTATTATATAAAACAGAATTTTCGTCGTGAACGTGTTAAGAATGTTTCATTGAATGATATTTGTGCGAAAATAAAATTGCATAAAAACACGCATTAATCATTTGATTTGGCTTATTTTTTTTATGGGATAATAAAATTCGGCTTAATGAGGGCTAATATTTGGAATAACGTGATTGGTTAGATGGGTATTAAAAGAATTTTTCAGTAATTCTGCGTCTGGAGAGGAGAAGAGAGGAGGGGAGAGGAAGAGGGGTAAGGGAAGGGGGAGAATAAAGAAGGAAAGAATAATAGAAAGAAAATATAAAATGGGGGAGGAGAAGAAGGAAAGATAATCCGAAGCTGATTGCGGCATGGCTAACAGGACTAACCTGGCAGGCTTTAATCGGCTGGTACTTTTGCTTTCAGCCCTCTTTCAGGGAAAGAGTCCCTTTTTAACAGGATTCGGACTTGGTTTTCTAGCATTCGGCCTGAAGAAGCTCTTGCTACCACTGTTCTTTGGCGTACAAATTCTTAAAAGCGTTTTACTAGCACTTTTCTTACCGAGCATTATTGGAAGTATTGGTAATATCGTTGGCAAAGGTAAGAATTTTCTAATTGAATTATATAATCAATACGTTACATATTGATTGAACAAAATTTAGAATTAGATTAGACTAATATTACGGTGAAACAAAAAAGTTCTAGCATTGATTGTATTGAAATTTTACCTTCGAAACTGATTTTAACCGATTGATCGTTTTTTCGTAACATTTATTTTGGAAATATTAAGAAAGAGAAAAAAAATATAAAAAGGTCGCACGGGAATTTTTGATTCACCGTAATAATCTGTTCTCGTCGTTTATCGTTGCTTTATTAAAAAAAGAATGGTTTAAGAGAAAGAAAAATAAGTAAAAATTTATTTGGTGACATTTTTTTCTCTCCCAGGTGTATCGTCATTTACCCAATCGTCTCAAACAGCAACCGTAGCACCCGAAGAAAATTTCGAATTCAAGGACAATTCGGATCTGTACAACGATGATTATTTGACACGACAACCTGTCGGAACACTACCGGCTTCCACGTTGTACGACGAAAGTATGATGCAGTCGGAGAAAAATCCTGAAATAGCTTCCAGATATTCGTTCGTTGATCCTGCATACGCTAATAATGCCAATACGATATCCAATCGTTATTATATGAGACACGCTGCACAAGGTTTTACGAAGAAACAAGATTTCAAGGCGAGTTGATCGATTACGCTTATCTTTTTCATTTTTTTAGGGGTGGGGTGGGGTGGGAGTTTTTTCTCCCGTTCGGTTAGACTATTAAAATTGTCATCAATCAAAATTTTTTATCCTAAAAAACAAACCAAAAAAATAATGCACATTACATATTTTTTATATTCTAAATTAAAATGAAAAAAAAAAGAAAAAAATTAGAATAACAAGTTGTTATCGGGTCAATATAATCGTGTTGATGATAATAAATGATCTCCGTTAAATTGATGATTAACAAAAGTGTTACACATTTAGAAAGATTGAAAATTGCATCGTTATGCTTACGACAGTTACCGTTAGGCACATTTAAAATACATCCTTGTTTATCATCACTTTGTGTTTAGCATTATTATTTCTCACAAAACTTTGTCCGGGTTAACGATAGCCAATCGATATAATAATGTTCGAGGATTCTAATTGACTTGTAGATATCCGGCTTTTTTTTTTATTAATTCTGGGTTGGGACACGACGTTACACGTGTTCCACTTTAACGGAACATGTCGATTATTATCATTCTTCTTCTTCTTCTTCTGCTGCTTCTTTTTTCCTTCTTTCTTTCAATTTGAATTATGCATATATTTTGTCTCTCATTAATTCTATTATCCCTAATTAGCATAAAATACTCATTTACATTGGCACAATATAACTGAATATTTTTGATTAACATTTATACGGTGTCGTGACAGGTATTTCACGAGATTCCAACGAGCTCGTTGCTCCTGACGAACTACGACCCGTTCTACTCGCCATTATTGTCACGATTGGATGCTGTTTTCTATAGACTCGGTCATACAACCGAAGGTTGTAGAGAATATGCTGTTTGTGCTATGTACAGAAGCCCGGCAAGATACGCACCTTACTCTAATCTCGTCTCGGCACAACTTTCGAGGGAATTAAACGAATTGAGAAAACCAGCCAGTGATAATCCAGACGTTTTGAGATTTTTCCGTTACATGAAGGCAGCCAAGGATGGTCAGGATGGTGTCAATTGCGAGGACGATTATAACAATTGTCCAACTGCCAGGGAAGATCAAAGTCTTAGACAAAATCAAGCTATGCTTGCTACCTATCAAGACATAGATAAACTCGTACACGCTAGAAAACTTTGAAACTAAACTAAACTAAACTAAACTAAACGAAACGAAACTAAACTAAAACGAGTTCTTCCTTATTAATAAATATTTTCGAATAATTGACACTGATATTCCTTGATGAGAAAAGAAAAATTAAAATCATCTAACTAAGAATGATTTAAGATGACGTTAATTGGAATGAGAATTACATCACATTACATCCTACAGAGACAGGATTATATGTTTTATCGTTAGATATAATCAGGCCGTGATTGGGTGATCTAACAGGACATCGATAAACTTACTATTCGTTAATGTTAGGAAACTTAAGAGATGTTTCGTTATTTTTATGTAAAAAATGTCGTTAAAACGTCTCTTGACACTTTGATTTCTTGAAAAGAACGAACGGTTCTGATAGGATGATGGTCGTTACTATTACAGATGACATCGTTACGGTACCCGTTATCTGTATGCGGTATTGTACGATCCTTTATAGTAACAGGAAAACAGTTTCCGGATCTATATAATAAGTATCTTCGTCTGAAAGATAAATACCACGTTCGCGATATTTTCTTTTTTTTTTTCTTTCTTTCTTTCTTTCATTCTAATAAAAAAGAATAGTGTAAGTTTAATCATTTTTGTGGTATGGAAAAATAAAAAGTGTGACTTTAATTATTAAAGAAAGAAATTTGTATTTTTAGCGAAAATACCGCGCGAACGTCGATATATAATTTAGATATTTTATTTATATATTAATTACTTTTGGATTATTTATTATTTATTTTTGTTCTCGAACGCGTAGATGGAAATTTTATTTGAATCGTTTTAATAAGTAAGTCAATTCGATATTAAATTCGCTGCTTTTTAACAAAAACTTTCAACGTTTTACGATCGAAATAGATATATGTTTTATTTTTGCAAATTTCATAATAACGCGACAATTATTCATCTAACATAAGTTTAACTAATTGTTATTTATTTATTAAGATAAAAACATACGACGTGGGTGCACGGTTGTGTGTGCTTGATAAACGAATATCAACTTACTATTAGTTATCTTGTATAAGAGTCAGATTTAATTCTGTTTGTGTGATGTTACGCATGTATTAAGTTTAATTATCACATGTAGACCGACATTTGAAAGAATGTACGGTTATACTAATTAATGTACAGTCTAAGTTGAAATAGTATACGTTGATCTTCTTTTCAATTCGAAATTTATGATTCAATTGCGAATACTTGTATGTTTCACGTTCGCGTGTTTGATTTGATGATAAATAAAAGTGAAATTAATGATCGAATTGATTTCGATCAACGAAATTGTTTCATTAATATTGTTTCGTTCAGTTAGATTATTCAAAATGTTGTCTACGAATGAGATATTTAGAATCGAAATAAAACCGAACTGGATGAAAATGAAAATGAAATGAATGCATTGTTGATCGTGAAAAATATAAATTTACAATTTGTGTTTACTGTTCGGATTTACAATTTAATTTTAAACAATTAATATGACGTTTCTTGCTTATAGTTTTAATTTAACATGTGTACGATATTGATTATTTTATTTTATTTTATTGTGTTGTATATTAGGATTTCTTAATATTTTCACAACCCTATTTTATTATCATAAATTAATAAACATATTATACGCGTAGTATCGTTAAACTATTTTCGAATCGATTGTTGCTAATTGGGGTGTTGAAAAATTTCTTAGTTTCGTTCAAATTTTTACAACATTCAAATTTGGTTAATCAATCCTTATATGGGGTCGCGATTCACCCTTTGACAAACCCCCTTTAAATACGACCCATACTTTCTTTTATTATTTTCCTCCAAAAGCAATATATAATTCGGTAAAATAAATAATATGAAATGAAAAATATAGCGATTGTTAAAAAAAAAGCAAGAAACATTTGTTGAACGGTATACAAAAATAAAAATATAATCAAAAGAATTTATGTTTATAATGAAACACACATTTCTATTTGTTTTAAATATAATTAAATTTATATATTTATTTTTTAATATATATTTTTTTCAATCAGGTAAAATCCTTTTTAAACGTGATATTATAAACAATGTGTTCGAATGTTCACGTAAGAGGGTGATGACGCATATGTTGAGCATCAAGTTGCGTAAAGGAAAGTTTGTTTCGCTTCGTCTTCTTTTCTACGATCTCTCGTCACTCCCCATAGGTTCCGGTCCTATATCCGGGGTCACTTTCACTTTCAATTTTTTTTTAATACTTTATTTTCGCTCTTCTCTCACATCAGCATCCTACGGATTCTTCCCTCTCCTTAAAACTGGACCGACCTGACGTATAAATGCAACAGCCACTCACTGGCTGACCTGTTCAATTCGTTTTGCTTCCTATCAGTACGCATCTCCTTTTATTTTCTTATTGTTAATATCAAATTTAATATGGTAAGTTAAACGATTAATATTATTCAATTAATATAATTAATATAGTAATACGATATTTTTTTATTATAATATTTAAAGAATTTGATGATTTACATATTAATAGTTTACTCGTATTATGATCAACATTCAATTGTTTTACGTGGGATACTTTAATTATGATTTTTAAAGTTATAATCAATTGTTTACGATGTTTCTCTTAGAATTTATGGATTTAATTTTAATTTAATAAATTTAAACAATGAAGATACATTAACTTGAAAATCAGTATTGCCAATTTAACTGCATCACTTTTTACAACGATGCATTATACGACTATAACTAGTATAGATAAAAGGTAACTAGACGAACTGGCGCCATTTTGAAAATAATATTAAATCTCAGTTATTGTTGCATCTATCTAACAAATTCAAGATCATATGTATATATATATAAAAAATGTAACGATGAGGTTTTTTTAATTTCGAATTTTGATAATGAACGTGATAAATTGTTTCGAATGAAATGATAATTAAAATTAGTTTACGAAAAATTAGAGATTACTTTCGTATTTATATTATTTATATATTTTTTCAATTGATTTCAAAATAATGAACTTGCCGAAATGTCGATAACCTTGTTGATATTTATTCAAAGTAACGAAACAAAATGTATTCATTGCGCATCGGCAGGTGCGTACGTGAGAACTTGCACCGGCATTTACCGTGATCCTACGTTCTGATTGGTCCTTACGGACTAACGGCACTTGTAAGACTTACAGCGAATAGTCTGAGTCTTTCCTTCGAGACTAACACGTTAGTTCTACAGAAACGTTTCAAGAAACACGAAACTTAGTGATTCGGTGTTTGTGGACACTATGCCGATTCAAACGCATTGTGTACGACGTTAGTTAGTAACAAAAAATCGATTTCAAACAAGTAAGAGTTTCATTATTTCCTCCTTCTTTTTGTTTTTTTTTTATTATAATCTTTTTCGAAATCAATTAAAAAACAAAAGAAAAAAAGAAAGAACAACGTGAGAAAGTTTCATCGGACGTAACAATCGATTTAAATTTTATTACGAGACGATTAGCTTCATACGTTTAATTATTATTACCTTCAATTTGTTATTAAAATATTGTTCTTCTTTTTTAATCGAAAGTATGATCAATAATCACTATTCCAGTTTGTTTTTTTTTTCATTTATTACACGTATTTTTTTTAGTTTGTCATTTTATTAAATTGTAAATCATAAATTTGGCTTTTCGAAAATACAAAAATAATACTGTTGATGGAGTTTCAATATTTATATATCGAAATTGAATATGTTATATTATTCGTTGATAAATCGAGTGATAATAAAGAAAATTGTTTTCAGATACCGGCGAAAGTTAATAATCGAGGCAGAATGCGGTTAGTGCGATTGTTGGTAAGCTGCAGTCTCCTTTTATCCACCACTCCGCTGTTGATATGCAGTCAATCCACAGGTGAAAGAGTTACCTTTGTAGAAGAGAAAGGAAACGAGGAATCCGGTGGCGTTAATATTGGTAAATAGATAGCCTAATTTATTATTAAACTATGTGTGTTTTCAATGCTTTCATTCGTTGCGATGCATACCAAAAACAAAAAATTTCTCATCACGTTTGTGGTCATCGGTTATTTTTAATTTCCGTGTAAAATATTTTACGTTCGATTAATCTTTTAATCTCATTTTTCATATACAATTTTTTAATAATTATAAACATTGTTGTTTATATTTATTATTTAAATTAACCCAAATAATTTTGTGTGTTAATTTAAACAGGCATTGATATATTTCACGATTTTTCATTGAGATAATTTAAATCGTATTACAAAAATTTTGATTACGTTTCAAGGTAATTTCGACACGCAACAAAGGAACGTGAGATTTTTCAATGGGACCCGTCAAGGAAAAAATCTATTCGATTGGATCGGTTTCGGAACAGGAAGCAACACTGATCCGTATTTGGCTAAAATTAACAAAGATTGTTTGACCGGGGAACTTGCCGAATGTTTCAAATCGCAAGCTCTCACTTCGTTTTCCGAATTTTTCGATCAGGCAGCTTATGCTTTGAACGATAACGTAAACGTTGTAAGAATGTCACGGCAAGTTGTAGCCGACGTTAATCGTCAACCTTACGAATATTCGACCGAAGCTAGGTAAATCGATATTGATATATGGTTTGAATTTATTTTTATAATGATAATATATAAATTTATAAATGATAACTATATATATATATATATGTATTATATATCGTAGATCCGACGATTCGGAATGGGATCAATTGGTTAAATTCGCATCGAGGAAAATGGAAAAATTTGTAAAAACAATGGCTATAGAAGTTAATGTTCCAACATCTGAGACAGGTGATAACGAAATTTATTCGCCCAGATTCATAGATGAAATTGCTGACGAGATAGAAACTTTGGAAGATAAAAAGGATTCACTTTTTTGTGAGTATTTTCTTCATTAGTTTTTAAATAAATTAATATATGAAATCATATTTTAAATGTTAATAAAATGATCACGTTCTTTTTGTTTTTTTTTTTTTAAATTTTTCAAAATTTTACCACTCGTCGTTGTTCGTTATAAATTAATTACAAAAAAACTTATGTGATACATTTTTTTGATATTTTTCCAGCTCGTCATCGTTTCCGAAAATTATTGATACCGATGTTAATAGTATTGAAACTATTCAAACTAAAGCTACTGTTATTTTTACCATTGATCTTTGGTTTGGTGTCATTCAAAAAATTCTTAGCATTTTTGGCAATCGTAATACCAGGAGTTATAGGATTTTTAAAATTATACAAACCGCAAAATTATCAACCACCGGTATATACTCAAAGTGGTGTTGGTTACCCTTACTATAGGGAACCTTCCGGTCAATATCCTTACGCAAATCATCATCCGGATTATGATGGCAGTTATCATGGTGACACTGTATCATTTGGACAGGATCTTGCGTATCAAGGTTATCGTAAATATCAATCGAAAAAAAGATAGATTTATTTATTATTATTTATTATTATGCACACAACGGAATCTTTTCAGTATCCGAAATATTCAACCATAATACTTATTAGTATACTCTAATATCCCGAGTATGATTTATTATTCGAACATTGTGCATACACTTTTCTATTTGTGTTATCTACTATCAAATCAAATACTCATAGACGTAGTAATCACTTGTACAATATATTACATTTTTCTCTTATTTATTTATAATACATTTATTATTATTAATAATTTTTTTTTCATACGAAGGTTTCTCATGTATTTATATTACGAACATTTTATTATTTTCTTCTTATTTTTTTTTCTTTTAAATACAAACCCACAATCATGATAAAAATTAGTATTCTACTATTCGAAAAGTATTTCATTATATCTTTCTTTTATTCATTCGGATACTGGAGGTTCTAATCTATTTAAAAAAAAAGAAACCAAATTTCTAATCATGAATCAAACGTCATCAATCGATTATAAAGATTTCAAATTCGAATTCAATTTAGATCTTATATTTAATGTTGTTTTCGTATATAATTTCATTTTTATACATATTTTATAATAATATTTATATTATGTCCATAATTTTTCGTGTACAGTAATATCGAACGATACTGGATGTATATATTTGCATAGTAGGTTTTTCGGAAAGTGAACATATCAAAATTGGTTTTTGTTGATTTCGATTTGATGGATGCATCAAAAATATTATTGTCCTTTATTTATCCATAAAGAAAAAAGAAATTACTTTCCGAACACCCTATAATATAATATAATTATAAATTAATTATTGTAAATGTCATTTTTAATATTTTTTTGTTCTCCTCTTACAAACGTTTGTTATAGTTCTCATGAGCAAATCCATGAACAACGAACATACATGTATATATTATTTTTTTTATATAATATTACACTATGTGTTTTTTAGAAGTTAATAATAGTTTAACTGTTAAAACGTAAGCGAAACGAAATAATAAGTTCAAATAACTGCAACTAAAGGTCAGATTTAATAAGCTATAGTTAATATTACGTTAATGTAATAGTAATTTTGTCATAATATTATGTTCTTCGATGTGTTCCAATGATTATTTCATTTCTCTCTAAACGTTGCAATTATTACACGTATTTAAACAACACTAATATTTAGTATTTAATAATATTTTTCAAATAAATCAAAAAAAGAAAAAAAAAAGTGATCATATTGAAATGTACAAGTAAAGCGTAAAAAATTAATTGCACGTTTTTTTCAGCGGTACCCACACTCATTCCGTTTTTTTTTCTTCCTCTTGCGTGTAAAATAAAAATATTATTTTTTTTTAGGACGAAACCGTTTGACAATTATTAATTTGGCGCAAGATTATTTTCATTTCTTTTGTAAAGATAAAATTAGGTTATCATTTTTTCCAATTAAGGCACGAAAATATAATTATTTTTTTTTTTTATAACAATCGTGATCGTCATCGACCATAGAAGATTAGATTCTTGCAATGTACTTTCTCCGGATATGAACGAAAGCGTCTAATTTATGTTTATACTCGTTGCGAATGTGGATCGAGTAGTGGGTATGTTTGAGTATCTTTCACTAGTGAGAATCGGATAAAGACGAATTTCGATTTCCAATTGATATTTCGCGTTCTCTTAGATTTTTTTTTTATTTATTAGAAAATACCCATTTATTATATTTCTATAGAAAATAATAAGATTAATTAATCTTACAAAAATAAAATAATCATTTGAGGGGTGATTATTTGACATGTTGCTGAATCGTTGATTATTCCATTTTGTGAAAATGTGAAAATGCAAACGCGAGAATGTAAATGAATTTATCAATTTAAATTAATCGTAACGATTATTTATCTTATTATTTTCAATCAATCCTAAAATTAATAATATTAAATCAATACTAATAAAAATAATTGACGAGGTTTCAGAGATAACATCCGTTATTACTTAGATTTCTTTGTTAATTTTTTATCTTGATGTAAAAATTTTCTTAGAGAGATAATAATACGAAATTAATTAATATTTGAACGAATTCGATAATAATAATAAAAATCATTTCTAACGATTACTTTTCTATAATTGTTTTGAATATATCAAATAATATAATATATAAATATATATAATTCGTTGTAATATTAATAAAAATCAATCTATTATTATATTATATATTATTTATTAATCATTTATTAAAATTTATGGAGTAATTGAAATATAAACGGGTATATATAAATAAAAAGAAAAATAGTATAAACTATGATAGTGGATTAATAATATTGGTCCAGGGTAAAACAACATCCTCCAGTAAAGTTGGTTTCTCCAATCTTGGTGTGAAAATTGCGAACGAGAAAATAATCGTGCTCCACCAGTTCTATATATTTCTTTAAACGCAAAAGGATAATAGACGAAGATATCCGTGCACGAATAGAAGGAAAGAGAAGAGAAGAGAAAAGAAGAGAGAAGAGAGGAAGAGGAGGAGGAGAACTCGGTTGATATGATTCTCACTGTTGCGATCCAAAGAATCGGCTAGAACGGATCCGTTGACCAAGTGGCCTCGATCGTTCGAGAAGACCGGAAGTGGGTAGCCGTAGGTAGACGGGGCGGTAACACGGAAAATGCCAAGACGGAAAAGTCCGTGGAAATTCTTACGAGAATTATGCCACTTGACTATCTTTTCTTTTGGCACAAAATTTTCTTCCCTCGAAACAAGAAGACCAAAACTATTTTGATGATCGATTTTTTTATTCTCGAACGTTGGCATCATATTCGTTTTCACAAGTTTTCTAAATTCTTATTATTACAAATTGAATCGAATTAACCTTCCAATGCACTCTAGCGTTAAACCGTTCGTAAATAGGTTTTTTTCCTTTTTTTTTTTACGCACACGTTTATCTTGATACACATAAGAACGTGTAATACACGTAAAGGTATTTAACATTTAATAAAGTTAGATAGAAAGAGAGAGAGAGAGAGAGAGAATATTAAGGTCAAGAAATTCTTTCTCGAATTTCTCTACTGATACTGCGATTATGATTATTTGGCGATATCGATAAATTTGAGATCTTATGAAATATAAATGAGATCAGATACCGATTAAGTTAACGTGATTATCGTTAATTGATTTATCGTTGAAAACGTTTCTATCATATTAAATCAATGTAACGATCGTTTAAGTATAAAATAAGTAGAACCCCCCATTTTTTGGTCTTTTATTATCCAAGGTAGTAGTTGTTGTAAGGAAAAAAAAAGGAATTAGGATAAAAAAGAAGGAGAGAAAAAGTTGAACGTAATTTAGATATATCTCGTGGGTACAACAATTCGATGAAATAAATTAAATAAATGAGAAGACAAATTTCTTCGAATAAATTGTTGTAATTTCGTAAAAATTTCTACGACCGATTTGAACCGCCACCCACGTTACGATAATGATAATCTCGATTGTTCGTTCGTTAGAACCGTGTTATTACCATAATCAAACTTACTAATAACCCACGAATAATAATCCCAATTGGAATTCGAACAATGTAACGGTTGGTTCTAAATACTTGAAAGTACTTGAAATACAACTATCTTTGCCTTGTACTACGATGACGACGATGATGATGACGATGATGATGATGATGAGGCCAAGTATTTGAATTTCCATCGAAGGTGTGGATGATGAGGACTAATAGATTAGATAGATGCTCATTAAATCTGTTAGCCTAGGAGCTTTCCAAGAGACACACAGACAGAAGCTTGGCGACGTGGTTTAACCTCCGCGATCTTGCGTGAAAGCGGTTTTGTTAGGTGGAAGAAACTTAACCGGATTCGAAAACGAGTCAAGCAGTTAACATCATCTTCCCTTAGATGTGTCTTTTTTTTTTTACTTTTCGTTCATCATTTAATCCTGTATGATTCATTTAACCTTTGTTCGTTGTTTGGATTTAAATATGATTGCTGTTTTGATATTGCATTTTCAATAATTATCTATTTTATTTCATACTTTCGGATGACTTTCGGTTCCGAGATCAATGACGACCTACTGCCAACGCTTTCTAGATTATCTTTTTATCTTTAGGCTAATATCTTTTATACACGAGAAGAACAAGAAGAATAATAAGAATAAGAATACTTTCGTTATCCTTTTCCTATTGAATATTTGAATCCTACATATTCGTACTTCCTACGAGATTACAGGAATGATTAAAAAATCTCTTAGAATAAATAATTGATAAATCAAATCATATATTATGAAAAGAATAATAATATAAGAGAAGATGTAAGATCGATGGCACGCATGCGTATGAAAGGTGCATATACGAGTCTTTTGATCTGGATGGATGACGCGCGTGCTCCACATTTGTGACACGGTTCTCGTTGATGATGGGTCGGGGACTCCGATGTTAGCAGACATCACATCGATTGTTTTTGGATACGCAACTAACGTATGATTTTTATTAACGTATACATGCATCTAAACAAATTACAAATATAGGAAGATCTCAGGGAGGAACAGCAATAATAATAATAATAATAATAATTATAATAATAATAATAATAATGTCATAAATCTTCTTCTGGTAAGACCTTATATCTCTATATATGGCATAGGAGTGTTCTCGGAGCGGTTAGTAGTGTGCATCTGTGTGCAATGGATGGAACCAGTTTGTTGCTCGAGTGTCCTCACCTTGGTACATACCCAGTCTTCATTCTCTCTTCCGCAAGAGATTAATCCCGCGAGAAGAGAGTCGTGAACGATCTTATGTTCCACCATATGCTATCACCACCACCACCACCATCATAACAACCATATTAACGTTCATGTTTGTCGATACAAATACATGGATAATATGGTTGATAGTATTAGTATTACTTACCAATACCGAGAAATAATTGGCACTATGATAGGAAGCAAAGCCACTACTACTATTTCTACTTTCCACCACCACTACCACCACCTTCTTCACCACCACCACCTCCTCCCTCTTCTTCTTCTTCTTCTTTCTTCTTTCTTTCTTTTCTATCCTAGTAGCTCCTGCCTGCTTTTCTTCTACTCCTCCTTCTTGTATTTCTTGTTTTGTCCTTTTCCAACCTAACTGGGAAGTGGAAATTCCGTCTTCCTCCCTCGCTCTAAGTGTTTCGCATACCTCCTGCAGGAGGTGGCCCACCAAGAAGGCGTTGTTCGCCATATACCTTTGGTAGTATGCACCACCTTGGGTTCTACTACTCTCTAACCAGGTGATCTTACCTATATAAAGTAGCCGGGGCGATGACGCGGGTTCAGACGCCTCGCCACGCTCATTCCACGCATCGAGCGTGATATACAACAACGGGTCGCCTCCGTAGATCAATACTCATCTGGATTATCCAGTTTCTTCAAGTTACGAGATTAACATTTTCAATACAAACGGGGTACGTAATTATATTAAAACTTTATGTGATATAAATAAGTTTTACTTTTATTTAATCTCATTTATTTAGATACATGAAATATGATTTCTTTTGTATATTACGATTTTCGGTTATTTTTGTATCATTTATTAGACTTATTTTGAACGTAAGCAATAGTTGGAAGTTTTCACAAAATGTATATATCCGAAAAATCGAAAATATATTTCTTCGTTTCTTGTTTCTTTATTTTGATTTTTTCGATCATTGGATGATTGGTCAGTGTGTTTATATTTTCGTTATTTTTTTTGTATTTTTGTTTTGTTTGTTTGTTTAGAGCAAGATGAGAACGATTTTAGCATGTCTAACGATCTACGCTTTGACCGTGTGTTTGGCAAATCCTCTCGAAAAAAAACTCGACAAGATCAGCGTGATCGAGCAGCAGTCTGTGACGACGATGATAGATCGGGTTAAATACGAAGAGGAATTGTTAAGAAAGTTAAACAACAAGTGTTCACAAAATGACATTAGCAGCTGCGTCATGTTGAAACTCGTTACGTATATGAATAAATTATTGAAAAAAGCATCTATCGAATTAACAGACGACGTTGAAATCAGAAAAACCGGTCAAGCTAACGAAGATATTGTCACGTACGAAGTTGGTAGAAGTACTGACGATGAAACCGAAGTACTTAATATGGTTGCCAACAAAGCTTATGCATTTGTCAAATCAAGAAGCATCAAGTGGAGAGTACTTCCGGAAAACGACGTAGTCGTGTCTGCATCTGAAGACGAAAGTGGATCGCTTAATCTTGGTTTAACCATCGAACGTGCCGACAATGCTGTTCAAGATGGTAATATTTTCTTTTCTTTCTAATTAATTTCAATTAATCTCTCTAATTACATATTTATTATTAAACGAATTGAAAAGTAGTTTAAATCGATAATAAGTTTCCTTTATTCGAGTATCGATTAAAGTTCGATTATGCAACGATAGGAGGGGGGTAAAAAAACAACAATATAAAATTACTTCAGTTATGTAATTAAATTAATCGCAAACAATTATTTTTTTGCTTGATTTTATGATCAACTATTTTCAACTATTTAGGTTTTATTATCTTTTCATTATTTATCTGAGGGAGAGGGAAGGGGGTTGGAAAAAAAAAAACAAGTATGTATAATAATCGACGATGATATTTTTTGTTGTTGTTGTTGTTGTTGCTGTTTAGGTCGAGGTAAAAAGAATAACAACATGGGACCACTGATGGCGGCAGCTGTTTTGAAGATCGGCGTGATCGCTGGATTGGCATTCAAAGCGTTGGCATTATTGGTCGGTAAAGCTCTTTTGCTTTCGAAAATAGCATTGCTATTGGCCAGTATTATAGGCCTTAAGAAATTATTCTCCCAACAAAAACACGTAACGTACGAGGTTGTCGCGCATCCCCATCATTCGGCCAGTCACACCTACAGTGCCGATCACGGACACGGTGACAGCTATTCAAGTGGATGGGCAAGAAATTTCCATGGTCAATCGTCGATTTCCAATCAAGGAGATTCTTCTTCTTCCCATGATTTGGCCTATTCCGCTCATGTCAAATAAATACGAAGATAAGAAAGAATGAGGGAGGGAGGGGGGTGGAAGGAGGAGGAGAGGGTTAAAAGTCAACGAAATTTACGGATTCGATTTGGTCGTTCAATTTCATCATCGTATCGTTCGTATAATTTAATTCATTTTTAGGATTAATTCTCTAATCCCTATTTTTTGTATTTATTTTTTTTTTCGTTTTATTTTACTTTGGTTACTCCCCACGCGTGTGTTTGCTTGTTTATATATTTATTTATTTATATATTTATTTATTTAGTTTTTCTTTCTTTCTTTTTTCGTATTTCATATTTATTTTTCTTTCCAATTCGTGTTCTACTATATTTCGATTATTTATTTTTGTTATTCTATTATTTTTCTTGTTTTTGTTTTTCCTAGGATTATTGAAAATTCGAGCAACACGCAAACACGATAATCCCACCTTGTCGATTTGTCACAATTTAAAGACTAGTACAGACTGTCTACGCACTATGACGACTGAATTACGGACGCGTAACGAGCTGATGACTATCTTTCACATCTACGAGACATTGCACTCATTTTTTTTTTCTCCTTTTTTTTTCTTTTTTTTTTTATTACGCACGACACGACATCGTTATCATAGCAACAGGTAATTTGAGATTTTTTATTCTGATTCTTTTTTTTTCCGAATCCGGATATCTCCTCGAATCGAACAAAATTTGTACCGATAATATTTTTGTTATGGAAAAATAATTGTAATATTTAAAAATCATAGAAGAGGAAACAAAGTGGAGCGATGTATCGACGAGTAACCAAAGTAAATGACTTTCCCTCACTATACATAAATATATAGAAAAAAATATTTATTTTTGTACTTATATATATATATATATATATAATAATTTATTTTTCGTTCTCCATAATAATTATCGACAGTGCAAATGATGATTTATCATAACGTTATGATGTTTAACATTATTATTATTGTATAAATAAATATTTATTGTCTTTTTCTAACGCTAACTGATTTATTCGTAACGTGTTATACGTGTTATTACGTGCGTGTGTGTATAATAATTAGAACATTGAGAATTTATAACTAGACTTTATTTATCTTTAATAATATAATACACGTTATTTTTTATTCTCTCTCGACACACAATGTATAATAATAATAATAATAATAATAATTGTTAATTTTTTCGAAAAATCATGTTATTTGTAATTGAACTCTCTCTCTCTTTCTCTTGATTCTTACGATTAATTTATTACACGCTAAGATGATAGATCTTTTTTTTTTTCTTCTACACACGTTACATCCGGCGTGTACTTCTTCTTTTCTTTTTTTTTCCACGACAACACGGAAGAAGAAAATTATAATTTTTCTTTAACAATTTTCAAAAGAAAACATATATATATGTGTGTATATAAGAATGTTCAGATATAATTCCGACATCAATTCAACGTTTTATTTCGTAAATTTATTTGTTCATTTTTTGATAAAATATTCGTTTATTTTAAAACGAAGAATAAAAATAACATATAAGGAAAGGAATTTCAAATCGATTCTCATTTTGTTCGTCCTATTAAATCGGTGCCAGTTGTAAAACTAGTTTTCAAAAGAAAGAGAGGAATCTAAAAGCGGATATACGACTACTTTACAAGTAAACTTAAATTATTTTTTATATTAAGAAATTTTTCATCTCGTAATTTCATCATATTGGAATGCGTTTAAATATAACTGACCTGGAATATCAATGAAGCAGTAACAACGATTGTTCTTATTAAATTTATGAAATTACATTAATAAGACCAATATGAAAATCCATTAAAACGTTCTTACATTCGATCAATTATGCGTTAGCAATATTATTATTATTATTATTATTATTATTATTATTATTATTATTATTATTATTATTATTATTGGATGTCTATAGGAAAGTTCTGTTGAATAATGTCATTTTAAGTTTCATTATGTGTATGCAGTATTATTAACAATATTAAAAAAGGTAGAAAAATATTTTCTCCCTCCCCCCGCCCGCCCCCATCATCTGTCAAGCTCAAAACTTTTCAACACGTTCACGTGCTTAGAAGTAAAAAAAATAAAATATTTAAGTGTCAGTCACTGATGACTGACGTGTCATTTGTTGGAAAAAGAAATCATAGATACGAGATCGAACATTTCTGTGTTATATATAAAATAAAAAAAAGAAATATAGTAATCGCGTTTATAAAATAAGATCGTACGAAAAAAAAGAAGAAAAAATAAGCTCGTAACAGTAAAAAAAAAAAAGGAAAAAAGAAATTTCTCTAATATAAATGATTAACCGCGAGTTCGTTGCAACGCGAACGTTGGATGCTTCCCGCATTGCAACAAAACTTAGCGGGACTTTTAGAGTCAGGTATGGTGATAAACATTGTAACAATTCAATCTGACCATGGTAACGCATAACTAAACGTGTCATAGGAAACGATTTATAGACTGTTATCGTTGATGAATATGCGTTTTTAGTAAGTAACGTTTTGTAATATACTACTTGTGTCACGTGTTTTAAAGTACATTTACAAATGATTATTTAAAATTTCAATTAGTATATCATAGTATTATATATTATACGACTTCTTGTTTTGAATTTTAAACGTTAATGTAAGTAATCTTTTGTTTTGACTTAGATTAATATTTTATTTTATTTTATTTTATTTTTTTTTAATCAAAAATTATTCGACTGGTAATAATGTGAATTTCGCGTGTTAACAGACGTGTGATTTAATATAATTAAATATCAGATCGTGCGGCATCGTGGAACGTGAGAAATGATTTCTTTCTTGTATGGACAATCAATCATATTGCAGCGACATCTTTAAGTATGTTGGAAGAATCGACTACTGGCGTCCTCATCATAAAGTTTTATCCGTTACGAAGCTCGAGTTTAAGGTTGAAACTTATCGATAGACAAGAACATGCTTACGTTTTTAAATAAACAACAAATATATATATTTTTTAATTAATTTAAATACTTTTCTCTGTTTATTCTTTTCTTGTTTCAGAAATCTTTGGTATCAATGATCCTTTTTTTATTACGAATTAACAGGAATTTGAGTTTGACAATTCTAAAATGTTGATTACTGAAAGATTGATAACTATGAATTTCGAAGATGATTTGTTTTCGAACGAGTCGTGGTAATGTGAAAATTTGTTTTCGATGAAAAATAAAATAAAGAAAAATGTTGAACAACGGATATTAACAATGGGAATCGAAATATTTCTCAATGGTGGTTTTGTTTCTTTTTTTTTAATCGAAGTTTAATGAAACAAGATCTTATAATATAATAAATTAATGTTACAAATTAATTGGCAAAAAGTAATTGAAAGTGAAACGAGTTAGTTAATTTCGAACGAATCATATGTTTCACAAATGTGTTTTCATTTTATATAAAGAGAGAAAATTATCTTAAAATTTAAAGAAAAAGCGTGTCGTTTCATTTTTCGTGCAAGAGTTTCATTCGATCGCTTTCTCCATAAGGATTGAAAACAAAAATTGAATAAAACGAGGATTCGATTTGTTTAACGATAGACTTGTGTTCGTGTACGTGTTAAAAAAAAAGTTCATCAAAAAATAGCCATAAATATTTCTTTTTTACGAAAGAAAATATAGACTCGTAATTATTCAAACGTTTAAGTTGCAATTTTTATAAATTTTATGACAATTGAATACGTTTTATAATTTTGAAGACTTTTATAATTATTTAGTAGAAGATTTTTCATTTAATTTAATTCATTTGCTTTTACGTAGTTATAAGCAAAAAAATAGGAAATAAAAATACTACGAGAAATCTATAAAGTCTTTTTAAACATTAGTCGAGATCTCAAGAGTTTCTTGCATTATTTTTAATACATTTGACACGGAAAAAGAAAACAATAAAAAAATATATGACTTATTCTGCATTAGAATCTTTAATAAAATAATAAATAGATAATAAATTAATAATTATTGCTTTTTAGACGATTGTAACGGATCCTAACTCAAGAATCCTTCGATGTATTTTAAATAAATAACCAGAAATTGGATAATTTAATAAAAGAAAAAAAAAAAGAAGAAATTGTTTAGATTTATCAACTTTAATTAGAATCAAAGAAAAAAAACAAAGAAAATTGCGATAAATATTGTCTCATATTTAATAACAATTAAAATCAATGAAATATAATTAACAAACGAACGAACAAAAAAAATTTAAGATAAAAATAATGTTTCTAATTAAAAAAAAAAAAAGAAAAGAAATTAGATGAATCAAGAATATGAATATCAGTCAAAATTTTCTTTAAAAGATCAGTCCAAGATGACAATCTAACGAATATATAATCCTTCAATAAATAATTATCCTATTATATATTTGATAGATCAATTAAAATCAATGAGATATAATTAACAAACGAACGAACAAAAAAATAGTAAGATAAAAATATTGTTCCTAATTAAAAAAAAAAAAAAAAAAACAAAAAAGAACAAAAAATAGAAGAAAATTAGATCGATTATACGAATATATTAGAAAAATTTGTAATAAAATCTCATATATAAATAAATATCGTACGGGGACCGTATCGATGTTGAGGTCCGCGTGCACAGGCGTCGTTCGAATGAACGAAGTTGCCGGTATTGAACCGGCTCTAGTTATACCTGTCACAGGTCCGTAATGCGTATATACCTATGGAATCGAGAATACGGAGGGAAGTGGAACAGAAGAGAAAGGCTCGGAGAAGATGAACTAGATTTGTCTTCTCTCTCTCTCTCTCTCTCTCTCTCTCTTTTATACTCTTTAACTCTTTCACTCACTCGCACATTCACATTCCCCATATTCATTCTTTCTCTCATTCATTCTCCGAGAAATAACGCAGAGAGAAGATTCAAGACGACGGATTCTCGTTTCTCTTGCTTCCCACCTTTTTTCCACGATTCCATCCACCATTTCTCCCCACCTCTCATTCTATCTCACTCGGATGTTTTCCTTCCCTCTGGCTAATACGAGAAACACCATGAGTTATTTCGAGCGTATCAGCTTACAACGTTTCCCCGTGTGTCCTTCTTTCATACAAAACGGGGAAGAGGAGAAGGAGGAGGAGGAGGAGGAGGTAAAGGTGAAGGAGGGACATTTACCGATCTCGAAACGACAAAGCTTTTCTTAACGATTCCCTATCCCCCCTTTTAAACCCCCTTTAACCTCCCACCCCGATTTCTTAAATTCCCGTCTGATCTCTCGAATCATTGTCAGTTGTCTTTTAACCATCGGACAAGATCGTATTGAAGAATCTCATGCTGTTTAGAAAAAAAAAGAAAAAAGAAAATAGGATAATAGATAACTTTAATCGTTTATACTCGTTTCAATAACGATCTTCCCTTTCGAAAAAGACAGAGAAAAAACAAACAAACCCGATCGATAATCGATCGATCGATCGATCTCTTTCGAGAAAGTAAGCTTTTTTTCTTGCTTCCCTTTCCCCTTCGAAGATGAGAAACATTAAAAACATCCGTTTGGAAAATCTCCAAGGATGGATGGATGGATTGGTGGCGGGGATGGGGGAGGGAATCGTCGAGAAATTGTATTCGTGATCGTTACGCTCATCATACGATTCGGATTGGAAATTGGTACGCTCTCTTCTTCCGCTCCACTAACAGGAAGAAAATCGCGTTAAGAGAAAATGTGATTAGTATAAATATAGATGTGTATTAGGAAAGGGAATGTTAATAGATAGGGGCAATCTAATCTGACGAGGATGGTAGTAACAAGGATACCTTTTTTTTAATCGTTTTATTTGAAATCGTACTACGCGGTGATCTAGAAACAACTAGCGTTAAATATCGCGTAGCTTTTGTTACGTTCCCCTTTCATAAGTAGAATGTGAGGTAACGGGGAGAAAAGTTAAGAGAAGAAAAAGAGAGAGAGAGAGAGTGAGTGAGGAAAGGGGTGGGGATAGGAATAGAAAAATAATAAAGGAAAGAAAAAAAATAAGGAAGAAAAACCACAGATTAGTTTAGCAAAAACAAGTATATTAACTTAGTATATATGTCTGTCTCTTTCTCTCTATTTATGCACAAATGCTTGCCCGTAACGCTCTAAAACGCTTTATTCAAAAATAAAACATTGCATTAGACGAGGAAAGATGGATAAGGATCTTATTTTATAATACGTACGAAAAAGAGTGTAAGTTAAATGCATCGTTGCAAAGGTAAAGAGAGATAGTTAACGAGAGAACGGAGAACGGCCAGTGGTCCGTTCGTTTCCTCGATATAGAGACTTCTTTATTCTCTTCTTTTCCATTTTTTTCATCCTTCTACGATCACCGTCATGGCACTAAGATCTATATAAATAGGATTTGCAGAGCGTTCTGCTGCATCACTCGGACCTCCACCGTAGGTTCCGCAGTATCACTCCGCCATATTTTTGTTATTGTTGTTGTTGTTGTTGTGTAGTAAACCCTTCGAACGTGTTGATACGTTGCAAGCAGCTCGTCCTTTGTATTATTCGGCGAATTATTGGTTGATCAAAGAAAGAAGAAGGAAAGAGAACAAAAAAACGAATATGTCGGGGAAAATGTCCGCGACAAGGTGGCGGTGTACACCACCGTTATCAATCGGTCAAAATTTTCTAATCATACTCGCGACAACATTTTGTTTGTCAAACGTGTTAGCTAACAACGAACGTGTCTTAGCGAAAGATTTTACAAACGCTTGGAAGGATTTGTCGAACGATTGTTCGACGGAAGAATCGACAAATCTTTCGGTATCCTGTCAAGGTGTCAGAATCGTCAGAAAGGTTGTTCAACAATTTATCGAAAATTCAAGCAAGGAACCGGACATTGAAATATTCGATGGAATTAATTTGGTCGAAGTCAACGATCCTATTAATATCAATTCGAGAAAAGGAAGATTTCTCAAAGGATTCGGTAGCATGACGCCGTTGCTGCAATTTCTCGAGGCCAGAGAATTGAGGGTTAAATTGCCGAAATTATTGCCGCCCAATTTCGAGACAGTATTCAAAAATACATTGACCGCGTCTACGAACGGCGAGGGTTTGTTTTTTAGCATAGAAAATTTTTCTTCTTAAATAATACGATTGATTTCTTTTTTTTTTTTTAAATCAAAAAATCGCGACCAAAATTACGCGTACGTGTAAATTTAACAAGATTATTATATTATTTTGTTTCTTTACATTTTTTCGACAGGAAGAGCACGTGGCGGAGGAGGATTCGGAGGAGGAGGAGGAGGAGGTGGCGGCGGGGGCGGTGGTAAAAAAGGCGGAGGTGGAATGATGATAATGGCTTTAATGATGGGTAAAGATAATCATACAAATAATATAACCAAGAAAAATGATCTTCTATGAAAAATTCTTAAATCACACTTTAAACTTTTTCTATCTTTAATAAAAACAAATCGAATTTTTGATATCATTGTGTCATTGTTTCAGGTAAAATGATGGCAACCATGGGATTCGGTGCTCTCGGTTTGTTAACGTTGAAGGCATTAATGGTCTCCGGTCTTGCTCTGATGCTGTCAATAATTATTGCCGTTAAGAAATTAGCCAGTGGCGGTGACGAAGGAGGTAGCGGACATCACGTTGTTTACGCTCAAGAAGTCGGTCATCATCATCGCAAGAAACGCAGTTTGCCGGATGAACATGAAAATAATGAAATTCTTGACTTACCGTACAGAGGTTACTCAGAGCTTTACGGGGATGTGAAGGTGTCTTGACGCGAAATATTAAAAGAAGAAACAACAAAAAAAAAAAAATAACTGATTTTATAATTTTATAAAATCGTTAATAAGACTTATATAAGACGTGTTTCAAATGTGTAACGAGTGACGACTATGACGACGTTAACGACGAGGACAATGACCATTTAAAATAGACGATATGACGTTTATAAATTCAGTGATTCAATGATTGAAATATTACCGTTGACCAATCGGATTAATTATTGGAAGATTTCATTTTATCCACGACAACAGACGATACTGAAGAGACGTCTAATCATCAAGGACGAAGACGACGTATTAACCAAAGTTTTCAAATCACTCAATCGTTAATTTATATTATTTATTTTTTTCTTACTTTAGATCTTCTATATCTCTATTTCTCTCTCTCTCTCTCTCTCTTTCTCTCTTACTTTTTCTCTATCTTTTTTCTTATTTATTTATTTGACTCGAATCTTTTCGACTCGACTCGACGACTGCAAGACAACGCGATTAATTTGTCGTTTACTCGCGTAACATCTTTCATCATTTGTTGTTAATATCGATGATTGATTTTACGCGATAACACATATACATCGCAGCATTTTATTCACACACACACACAAACATACATACATACATATATATATAATATATTATATATATATGTATGTATGTATGTATACGATTTTTATATATACATATATTATATAATTAAGATTATTTTGAATTTAAAAATAAAAAATCATAGATTTTGTTTGTTCTCTCGTATAACTAATATGAATTGTAATACTTGATATTATAAATTATTTGAATTTAAATGACTCGCACGTATTTGTTAATAACGATATGAAGGGAATAAAATTGTTATATAAAGAAAAGTGATTGAGGTTGTTAAAAAAAGACCGGGAAAGAAGAAGAAGAAGAAGAAGAAGAAGGGTCTTTAGAGGATCGGAGAAAGAGAAAAGTGTGTCAGGTAAGTAAGTGCCACGTTGGCCGAGAACGTGGTTCGTGCGATGCATATCCACCTGTTGTTGTTCGCGGATGCGCCACAAATCCTATCGTCGTTCGATGCAAAACTTCCGTGCCTTTTATAAGTGGATCAATTAGTTTTCCTTCTTCCACCACTAACTTATGTTAGTTAGTTAGTAGGATCTAAGTGAGCTTCGGAGTTAAGTCTTTTTAAGGGGGGGAAACAAAAAAAATAGCGTAACATTAGTTTACTTAAACCGTACTAATTATTCATGCTACGTATTCACAATTCGTGCATCTTCGCGTGCATTCGAATTTTCGGATTTCTTGATTATCGAGAGAAATTAGTTTTTCGTTCTTAAAAAAAAAAAAAAAGATAATAAAAATAAATACGAAAGAAAAATAAATTCATTACAACGAAAGAGAGTTGTCGAATATTTTGACCCACCTCACCCCACCCCTTTCTCCGCTGCTTGTTTTATTTTCTTTTTTTGTCAGTTGGTATCTTCGTCATATCGATACGCATCGTATCGTTTACTTCATCGTTTTTTTTTTCTTTTTCTTTACCAACATAAGAGAAAAAAAATGAGAGAGAAAGAGAGAGAGAGAGAGAGAGAGAGAGAGAGAGAGAGAGAGAGAGGGAAGAATTTCTTTGCAAGGAAGGATGTTGTGGAAGTCGACTGACCTAATGACACACATATTCACGAGACGGTTCCTTTTTTACGTCTCGAATATCATAAAACGTGCCGGCGTATCTTGAAATCGGTCCAGACGCAACGTGAATTCCGTCGCGCAGGTGTTACCACCGAGAGTTTTGCTATTTCCCTCGATCAATTATGGTCAAATACCCATAAACCAATCTCGATATTTTTTCTATAAAAAATATTTATTTATTTATTTATTTATTGCGGGATTTTTTAATTATTTATCGGATAATTATTCTATCTCCTCTTTTCCCTCCCCCCCCCCCCCCCACAATACACTACCACCACAAATTGTTTCTCACAACGTCGTCGAAAACCACTTTCTATTCCTCATCTCGAAGTTTCTTCTTTGGTTTCTTTTACGTTTCTTCTACCCATTTCTTTTTTTTTCTTTTCTTTTCTTTTCTTTTCTTTCGTTCTTCCATTTCTCTTCTTTCCTTTTTTTTTTTTATTTGTTCCTCTTCTTCTTTTCTTTTCTTTTTACTTCTTCCCATCAACGAAATACTTTCTAATCTACCAAACTTCTTACTAGGATTATTATTTGGTCGTAAGTTTGTGTGTGCTTATACTTAACTTTCGGTAACCAATTTGATTAGAAATTAGATGGTTGTTACCGCTTCGACATAGATACGTGTTTACACACGAGAAGAATACGTTAACGGACGATAATCTAATCGTTCGAAAAAATTTTATTCTTTTTCTTTTATATAAAAAAAGAAAAAAAAAATATAATACGCGAGACAAATTATCTCGTCATACGTTTCGCACACATTTTCAATTGTTCTTATCGTAAATAAAATTAAAAAACGAACGGTATTTATGTATTAAAAAAAATTCGATTATTCGTTCGTTCGTTCCTTCGTTCGTTCGTAATATGATTGAGTTATTTTTTTTTTCCTTTAATTAATTCGACGAATAAATTATGACGAATTTTTAAATAAAATTCTCTTCAATTTAACATAGTTCAGATACGTGAGAATGGTCTACTAATATATCGTTTTCTGGCACAGCAGCTAAGTTGTATGAGTTGTTGAGAAAGAGAAAAGATCGGGAACGGGGGGGAAGGGGGGAAGGGGGAGGTAGGGCACATCGATCGGTTGTCAGCCGATCGGAGAGATGCGAACTCCGTTACATTCCGTTGCTTATAACGATCCACAGAAGTGGAAAATTTAAAATTCAAATCTGAGATTTGAGAAACTATCGTCAATCGAATTTTTCGTGTCAGAGTTATAATCCTCGAAAAAAAAAAAGATTTCGTACTTCACGATTTTAATGCTACGAAGGAGATCTAACGAAAAAAGAAAAAGAAAAAGAAAAAATCATCGAACGTTAATCGAACGAATTCATTCGAGATTAATCGTTTTTTGTTTTTTTTTTTCTATATTAACAATCACGAAAAAATAAAAATATAAAGGAAAAGAAAAGGACGAGGGGTGTGGTAATTAGACAAGCGCACATTAACTTTCTCCGATTTGAACGGAAAGTAATGTAAGAGTTTTAGGAATACGTTTGATGTTTCAAATACAATTCATAGGGACCTCCTTTCCATGTGGCACCATTGTAAACAATCTCGTCGTCGTCGTAGGCGGTTTACACGGATTCCTTCCTCGTCGTACTTTCCTACGTGATACTATTTTAAAATAACATTTCTCAATGCAATGGGATTTTTTTTTTTTTTTTAATCGTAGAATTTCTAAAAGATCGTTTCGAAGTAGGTACCTACGTCAAATAAGATCGTGAAAAATTTCGTTGATTTTTCCATTATATTTGTTTTTGCGTTACTTAGATAATAAATATTCTATACGTTCGTGTAACAACAACAATAATAAAAATCAATTTTTATATAAACATAGTTTTTATATTAAAATATATTTATTTGTTTTCTTTTCTTCCATATATTATTAAATATTTATTTAAGTACAGATGTTTTTTTTATAGAGCACTGAGAGTAAAAAGAACGAAAAAAATTGTTACGCGTTATTAAAATGCTATTGGATGTTTGAAGATGAAATATTTTTGTATGTTGTTACGAGAAAATAAGAAAAAAAAAAAAAACCAAAAAAAATCCAAAGACGAATTCTCCAACACAGAAAACAGGATTGATTTCCGAGAGAATTCGTGTTCGTTATTACCGGAGGTAGAACGAACGCAGTTGTAATTTTACAACGTTGGGCGTGTCGACGATTTAACGGTTGATACTGCAAGTGTAAAGGAGGAGAAACTTTTGGTTTTACTTTTTAAGGCTTGTTTTTTACGAAGGGGGAGGAACGTAGGATCAACCGAAAGGATTCTGCGAGCCACCCGATGACCGAGAAAGGATGAATGGCTTACTGACGTAAGATCCGAGCACGAGATTCAATTCATTTTCATTAAATCTCTTTTATATATATATAAAATATAATAATATAGTGTATTTCTTTTCGTAATTATTTATTTTAGGTCCTTATGCAGAATTTGATGCTTTATCAAAATCCATTTAAATTAAATAATAACGACCTTAAAAAAAAGATTTTGTTTAGCATTACATTTGTGTCCTAATTTAGTTTAATTATGCAGGAAACATTTTTTCATGCAACGTATACTTTACGAATTATTTTGGAGACTTCACGTTCCGTGACTAACCCTGTATAATATAATATAATAATAATAATAATAATATATACATATATACTTGATATATAAATTAATTAAAAATTAAATTAACGCAACACTTATAGATATATATTTTATTTAATTTTTCATTTGAAAAAATTCATTCGACGAAAGTAAATAAAAGATAAAAGAAAAAATGAAACTAAAAAAGAAACAAAATAAATAGAAACATAAGTACGAGCTAGTAATTACGATGAAAAATATCTAATGGATGGACAATTAGCCAAAGATTATGTTAGAAGCTTTGCTTCCTTACGATTAGTTAAAAACGTGACTAGCCTATTAAACCCATACTACTATGGTATTTCGAAATTCTACTTGAGGATTGTATGTTAGTGTTTTAACTGTCACTCGATACTTTGATATTCGTACGTGCCTGGATATGTGTGCTGCGTGTATACATATATGTGTATATATGTAATTGTGTGTGTGTGTGTGTGTCGGAAGGAACGAAACGAAAACGACAAGAGAGAGACGTTATCGGTGGTGGGCCGTGAGAGTCGGAGGGTCAGAGTAGAAAGTGCTGTCCGTACCGATGAAGGTCGGATCCGGGATGTTTGAACCTGATCCATACTAGTTTTCTTTCATTCATGAAGATCGAGTTTCGCATACGCCAAACTGGATAGATTCGTCGATCTTACGTGTGTATCATGATTTCATCTTAACTTCTCATCCTTTACCCCTTTCCCTTCCCTTCTCTTCTCTTCTTTACCTGTCCCCATCCCTTTCGCAATTTCACAATGCCTAAGGGAGAGTGTGGCCAATATTTGGAACCTCGGTCAAGACTTTTACCTCTTAAACGTTTAATTTTCTTTTTCTTCTTCTTTTTTCTTTTTTTTTTTTTTCTTCTGTTAAAGGAAAAAGCAGTAAAGCCGGTAATGCTAACACGACGACCAATTATGTGGGTGTTTAACTTCAACGAGTTCTATGTTGAACGATAAGATACCCAACGAGGTCTTATTTGCGTTATACGTTTGTTTTATATATTATTATACTATTAATATTTAACTATTTCACACACATTAGTATATAACACAATATATTTGGTATATATCAGATACGAACAGAATAATTGTGTCGATATTTTTTATGATTGTTTTAGAAATCAGAACGTACGAAGAATAACTGCGAGTGCAGTGCAATGAACAAAAAAAAAAAAGAAAAATCAGAAAATATTTTATATTATTGTTATTAACATTTAATACCATTAAAGTTTTGTTTACAAAGATTTATTTCATTAGTATAACACAAAAATTTGTTACATCAAATACGAACATATTAATAGTTGTTGTGAAACCAGAACATACGAAAAATAACTGCAAGTGCAGTAACGAACAAACAAAAATCAGAGAAGAAAGAGAAAGAAAGAGAGAAAGAATTTAGTATAGTTATTTGACTAGGTGGTTTGCTCGTCCTCTATTCGTTGATCGTAGGCAGGTCGCAGGTCGCAATAGGCTGATGAACACCTACAAGATGGTGTTAAGTACACAACTATTATTGGTGTTGAACGAATACCTACACACACACACACACACACATACAGAAAGAAATACGCAAGGGAACCGTTTAAACGGCCACGGACAAGGACAAGGTAAGGAAAGGCTTGGTCAGGTGCGCGCGAGCGCAACGCTTACGAACGAACCGCACGTGACGCACTCTCGGATAGGAACAAAAAAAGAAAAAATCAAAAGAAAAAAGTATAGGTGGGGCAAACGTGACGGCGATGGTAGAGGGGCCCACCAAATATAAGCTTAAGAGATTGCCCGATGGACCACACGAAATTTCACTACGCAACCGGTACGAGTTTCGAAAACTCTAGGAAGATAATAATAATAATAATATAAAAAGGGAGTTTTTTTTTTCTCGATTTGGTAATAATAATCCGTTTGAAAAATATATATTCGTTTCATTTGCTTTTATTGAACGCGCGGGAAATTATATTTTTTTCTCAATCGATCGTTCGGTGTGACAATTAATTGGTGAAATAAAATCGAAGGAAGGAGAAAAAAAGAAAAATGACGAAGTTAATAACATTCGTAATATATTTAATTACCATTGTTGTTTTGGTAAACGGTCAAACGTTGGACGAGTGTCTACAAAAGGACAGCATATCATGCGTGCAAAAGAGCATCTACAGAAAGGCAAAGGAATTCTTTGATAAGGACAGTTTGGAGATATTACCTGGTGTCAATTTGGTCAAGAGTCAGGATCCTAATTCGAAAGAAAGGAATGCTGCCAGATCAAACAAAGATATTATTTACGATCGTGAAATCGATGATGCCAATGACGTAGCAGAGAGGCAAAATCTTCTCGAAAATTTCGTCGGAGAGGAAGCCAGTAATTATTTAACCGGACGTAGTTTAAAGGTAAATACGCGTTTTAAATAATCGTATCATTCATTGATTTAAAGATTTTCTTTTTTACCTTTTTCTCATCTCGATTCTTCCAATCGAGTTCGAACGATTCTTTTTTATTTTTTTTAATTCATTAAATATTATTCCAATGGAATTATTATTTATTTATATATATTTTTCTTTTTTTTCTTTTTTTCTCGATAGATTAATTTTGCGCCAGTATTTGAAAAGATCGGCGAATCGGCACGCGTAATCACCGATACGATGCCACAAGAAATTCGTCAAGCAGCCGACGAGATTGTCGAAGGTAAAAAAATTATAACATTTTTTCAAATGTATATAATGAAAAAATTCTTTTGAAAATAATATTTATTTATCATAAATTTGTATATATATTTTATAATCGATTCGTAACATTTTCTTTTCCAGGACGAGTAAGAAAGTTAAAACTTTTGAAAACGATATTACCTCTATTGATAGCTGCCAAAGTTAAAATCGGTGCACTGGCTACCGGAGCTTATTTGTTAATCGCATTGATTGCCAAAAAAGCCATAATCGCGTCACTCATTTCGATAGCAATATCTGCGTTTATCGGTTTGAAATATCTTTGGTCATCGAAATCTGGCGGTGGTTTTACACCATACAATAGTGGTTGGAGTGGTGGAATCAGCAGCATAGGTGGTGGTTGGGCACCACCCGTTTCTTCCGGTGGATGGGCCACTTCCGGTTCAGGTGGTTGGGACGATGGACATTACGCTCAAAATCAAGCATATTCGAGTTATCATCATTGACGATAGTTTTATTCTTCTTTTTTTTTTTTTTTTTTATTATTATTTAAACTGATCTGTCGATGATAACAATTCCCTCCCCTCCCCCATATCTCGTAATTTTATTATTATTATTATTATTATTATTATTATTATTGTTTCGAATATCTTTCGTTATTTTTGATTTATTTTGTTTGTTTGTTTGTTTGTTTGGCGACAAATTGCGCGACGGGAAATGGAACATAAAACAGAAAAAGAAAATTTATATTTTAATTTATTTATGTGTGTATGTGAGAGAGTGGGAATCATCATCCGTAGTAGAAAAAAGCAAAAAAAAAAAAACAAATTCAATCTCGTTAGGAAAGTAAACGATAATATTTTATATTCTTGTACATAATAATAAATGATATCAATATTTTTGTTCTAATTATATAGCCACGTGAGCGTGTTCAACCAATGGGAACGGATCAATCTAAACGCATAACTTACTCTGAAGTATATTTTTCTTCTTTATTTTTTTTTTTTTTTTACTATTTGTGCACACGACGACACGACTACGTATAGATGTTGCATATTCCGAATGTGTGTAATAATCCATGCGAGAATTAACTTCTTTCCATTCTTTTTCTATATTCTATCTCTCCTATCATCGATTTCCTTTCCTCTTCTTCTTTTTCTTCTTTATTTTCTTTCTACTCACCGTAACTCTCAAAACCATCTAGTCTACCATCATGGATGTACGCGAATTCCGTTAACCTACTATAGCCGGTATACTAATCAATCTTGTAATGCTCACTGTAATTCTTATAATATAATTTATATGAAAAAAAAAAAAAAACAAAAGAAAATAAGGAAAAAGAAAACAAAAATATGCCATGCATTTATTTATAACCTTATACGTAATCCCGATAAATATATGTATATATATATATATATATATAAGTTTAACAATTTTCCACGAAGATACTAATTGTAAGATAAAGTTGGAAAGTAAAGAAAGTATTTTTTCCTTTATTTTTTCTTTTCTTTTTTTTTGTTTTTCTTTTATATATATTTTATTAGTTTCTTCTCATACTATACAATCGGTAATGCATTTTAAATGTTATGAAATATAAATCGAATGTCGATTTTACACTTGCACTTTGCTTATGCTTCACTCGAGCGTAGAATACCGTAATAAGTATAAACGAAAATGAAAGGTTTTAAATTAAAGTGAGGACGACGGGAGTAGTAATAGTGATTCACAATCTTATGTTTCACGCATTCTCGCGTGAAAGAACTTCGAAATTAATTTGAGAGATCGTTAAAAAGAGTAATAAGTATAAATAACGAAATAAAAAGAAAATAAAATAAAAGAAAAAGAAGTGATAAAAGAAAAACATTAAGAAACGAAGGAGTCGATGACAACTGGTCGTTATTTTTGAAACAGGTCGTTTCTTCTTCGATGCATCGAAATCTCCCCTCCCTCCCGCGTGTCCGTGTAAAATCGAACTGGCCAAGCTAAAAGAGAAATCATTCGTCTACCTCGCATCGAACTTTCCACTCTTCCGCGAACGCCCGAAACATATTTTTTATACGAGTGAAATTGCCATCCAATGAGAACGCGTTGTTCGTCAGTAATCAGTTTTATAAATGAAGAACAAACTAAATATAACGAAAGAACTAACGAATGACTGTTATTCTTGATATTTACTTCAACTCCATCCTTGAACTAGACCGACGTTAAAACACGAATACACTGTGAACAAATATTTTACGAACAAATATTGTCTCCCGAGATTGATATTATTCATATATTCATATATTTTAAAAATATTATATTTTTTTAAATT